TTGACCGCGAACGTCGGCCAAAATGTGGTCGTCTACAACATCTTCGAGCACTTCTCTGTCAAAAGAAAACCTTTTTAATTATGGATTGCTTTTTGTGAAAACTGATTTATTCTCTGCAAGATGCTAACCGTCCTACAATATTCACTTGCGCATTGACAATAAAATCGTGTTCGAATAGAAAATTTTGCAATCATGAAAAAACTGTCGTATTATTTTGTTTGTGAAAGATTGTCAAATTTAGAGAGAAATATGAATTCTCTGAACAATTATATATTCCCTTAACAATGTTTGTGTGAAACTTACTGTACGGTACTATGCAATGGTTTGTTGTACGAAATTTATCAAAAAAATTTTATCAGTTTGAATTAAATGATCGATTTTAATCCAACTGAAAAAGTAGTCAAATTCTTCTATCATCTTTCAATATATTTGGTTCTATAGTTCTTGTTTTATTTAGTTAAATTCTACTCTAATCTATTATTTCGTTTCTTTAATGCTACGCTTTACAAAATTTACGGATGGTCAGATAAGGGAAGCGAAGAGAAAATAACCTCGAGCTAAATGTCAGTCGATTTCCTGGACAAAGGATCGTTTTCTTCTTCACATTTTTGATAATACTTTGTGCAAAATTAAGAAATTTTAACCCTTATTACCAAATCAATAATATGAGGTCAATCAACAAATAAAGCACACCGTGTTTGTTTAATTGGGAAAAAGCATTATACTGAAGAACTTTATTTAACATTCGTATACATAACCCATGAAATAACCTGCAAAATACGTGTGCTAGCGTGCAATATCATTAGTTACCCAGCCAGCACACGACGTTTTCTTAACGTTGGCTGAAGGTTGTACTTACGTTGCGTTATGACATAACGTTAATACAATGTTCTTACCACGTTTTTCTTATTCAAATTTTAACCACGTTGTGTCAACGTCGGTTGAACATTGACATTAACATTAGGTAAGGAAGTTATGTTGTAACGTTGTTTCAACGTCTGTTAAACGTTAAGATGAACCTTAGTTTAAGGTGATTTTTTGGTCGCGTGCCCGTCGTTATTGTCTGACGTTGTTTCAACGTCGGTCAAACGTTAAGATGAACCTTAGTTTAAGGCGATTTTTTGGTCGCGTGCCCGTCGTTATTGTCTGACGTTGTTTCAACGTCGGTCAAACGTTAAGATGAACGTTAGTTTAAGGTGATTTTTTGGTCGCGTGCCCGTCATTATTGTCTGACGTTGTTTCAACGTCGGTTGAAACGTTAAGATGAAACTTAGTTTAAGGTGATTTTTTGGTCGCGTGCCCGTCATTATTGTCTGACGTTGTTTCAACGTCGGTCAAACGTTAAGATGAACCTTAGTTTAATGTGATTTTTTTGTCGCCAGCGTTGTTAATGTCTAGCGTTGTATGAACGTTGCCTAAATGTAAAGATGAACGTTAGATTAAGGCGATTTTTGGTCGCAGCTTTGTTAATGTCTAACGTACGGTGGCCCGCATGTGCCACTGTTTCTGCGTAGAACTATGTAGCTGTTCCATACAAATCAAGTTTCTCCGTACAACCCCGAGTGTTCTCCGTACGAATATGTTGCTCCATGGAAAACGAACTGCTCCACACAAATGTTTACCTTCTGCTTGTTGAAATGCTACTTTTCCACACTTAAAGAAAGGTTGCTAAGAGCAAATAATCCTTTCTCCACGCTGAAATTATCTTTCTCTATACAAATAAGCATACCGAACACTCTCTTACCCCCTGGCAAAAATAACACACGTGCACACACTCAACGTCGGGGGGGGGGGATAACTGATCCTAATTACTGATTTTTAATTTGTTAACTGATTATAGTTTGGCGATAACGGTTAGTCGGTTACCTGTTAAGAAATAAAAGATGTATAAATGACCTGCTAAAATGATCAATTGCAAAATTTGCCTTAACATATGTCGAGAGGATTATAGTTTTTGCGACGAATGTGCACATCAGCTTGTGCAGCTTGTAGGTTTGTACAAATCGTAATGATTTTAATCATTTGGATCTTACTATTTAATGTTTATGTTTCAACTAAATGATAGATGTCTTTATTAGTCTTATATATAAAACAAATTTCACATTATTGTATTGTCTATGTACAATTTATGGTTACTATCTCTTTATTTTGTTGAAAGTTTTGAATTGCATAAAATTTAAATAGTATGTATTTCTTGATTTTGCAGCTGCAAACCAACCTGCTGTAGATCAGATAAGAGAAGCCATTACTTTTACTTCAACTGTGGCTATACCTATGATGTAATACTTGACTTCTTGACAAAACATCATGGAGTATCTATGAGTCTTAGAACACTCAATAGGCGACTAAGAGAGTATAATCTGAAGCGAAAGAATGTATCTGCTGATGAAGCATATATAAGAGAACTGGTTAAAATGGAGATGGCAAATGCAGGAGAACAGTCAGGATACAGGACCATTTGGCATGCTTTGAGGACAATATATAATGTACATGCACTCCAAGAAATGGTTTGCAGAATTTTGTATGAACTTAACCCTGCAGCAAGTAAAGCAAGAAAAGCAAAAAAGTTGAAAAGAAGAATATATTTGTCACCAGGTCAAATCACTGCTGGCATGCAGATGGTAAGAGAAAAATGGTGTTAAGGAATATATAATAGCAGAAATACAAATAGAAAATGACTGCTAAATGATTAGTCTAAGAGATTTATATTAACCAATTGACATTTCCCCAGTTTTGTTTACTGGCAATAAAAATTCACCTAGATGTGTACAGAATCACACCCCATACCACTAAATAAAATCAGTGCAATGTCTGGTGTTCATTCAAAAAATATTTATCAGAAATGGAGATGTAGTTAAAATGAGCAATGCCGTCGAAGCTTACCTCCTGTAGGCAGGTAGAGTTGGGGTTGGGGGAAAATACTAGCATTATCTATAATAATGACAAATCCCAGAGAAATAATCATAGCAAAACTCCTATAATTTTTAAATTTGTTTTGTGCGTTTGCTTTGTACGGTACATGAATTGAATAGGCTACCATATGCAAACTTTATGCGTTACATAGTTCAAGCTATTGCAAACACCGTAAATGCACACTTTTTAACTTAAATAAGGTTTTTTCCTGAAACCCCCTCCTCCATAACTATATTGTGCATTAATGATTAGCTCATCATTCTAGAAGAATCGCTTGTCCAAAGCTGAAGATGTGTGTAATAAAAGAAAAGTTGCCAATTACTTATCACATGTTCAAAAACAAACCTATTTGTTTATACGATGAGTTCATTCAATGTCGTAATCGGAAATATAAGACACATTTTGTGCGATATTCCATATTGACTGTTGTCATCGTAAATGCACACTTTTTAACCTAAATAAGGTTTCTTTCTCAAACCCAATCCCCCATAACTATGTTGTGCATGCAACAATCATTAACTCATCATTCTAGAAGAAGCGCTTGTCCAAAGCTGAAGATATGTGTAATATGAAAAAAGTTGCCAATTACTCATCACATGTTCAAAAACAAACCTATTTGTTTATACGATGAGCTCATTCAATGTCGTAATCAAAAATGTAAGGCACATTTGTTGCGATGGTCCATGTTGACTGTTGTCATCTAGTGCTGGTTGCATTGATTTATGTTTTCTAATTTTCTGCAGTTCCTACATTTATTTATTTAATTTTCTCGTTTCCTAACTATTGTGCGCGTGTAGGCCGTTGACTATTATCTGGGACTAACCATCTGTGTGTCGACTTGCGAACTAACTATGCCTAATGAGTGCTGCCCCACTGAAATGACCAACTCAAGAATACATGACCAAATGAATGAAAGTATCAACTCAAAGTACTTCAGTCAAGTTAAGACATTCCCGGCGGAAATTTTATAAATCGTATCATTACTTATGGTGATGGAATGATGTTGTTAGTAAAACCTCAACTGATATGGAGTTGTTTCTAGGTTGTCGCCTTATTTAATTCTTTCGCGTTTTTTATGGTTGCTTACTTAGCCATACTGTTTAAAGACAGGCTCTTGGCGAATGAAAGATACGTTTGTACGCTACGCAACTTTCTTAGCACTATGATTACGTGCCTTGAATTGTATACTAATGCATTACAACACAATTAAATTTGTATGACCTACCGTAAATTTGTGCGAACTACGACTTCGTCACCAGTTTTGCTTCCGTTCGATTAAGACCTTCAAAATCAGTCGAACAATTTTTTACATCATTGATAAATAATTTTTGATGAAACTTAATCTTAACTATTTCAAAATATCTTTGTGGGCGTTGAGTTTTATAAAGAGATTTTTGTCCTCTTTAAAGCAAGGGGGAGAAGGAATTGATTGGACGAATATTTTAAATGCTTAAATAAATTTTCATTCATGTATCCAACAAGCTGATAAGGTTAAATCAAAGAAGGGAAAAGTAGGTAGTCGTACATTACTTTTGATAAGTGCAAAGTAAGCTCATAAGAGAAATTAGTCCACAGGTGAAAAAATGTGATAAATGTATTTTGACTAGAATTTTCTCTCTCTTTAATGGCTGCTCTACTTAATAAAGAAAACTAATAATTTACACAATCCATCATCAAGACGTCACAGGGATTTATTATTAAATCTTGATTCGCGTCGATGACCAAAATTAAAATCATTTCTGGCGTTACTAATGAAGTACATTGCGATCGTCAAGTACATCACTAAGGAGCATGCAATGGAAAATATACCACCAATTTAGAAATGAGATAAAGTACTTCAGGAATGGTAAATTGCATACGTATTGATTGCATTTGACACAAAATCAGTATGGGCATAAAGGAATTACGTAATACTTTACCTTCGTGTCTTTTAATGTGTCAGCATTTGGTCGAAAACGTTGATTTCGTTGCATCTCGTTCAATAGTCGTATACATTTTTGCCATAAAAAAACTTAGCACTGTTTCTTACCCAGCAATCTCGTCATCCAATAGTTTGCATTAATAACCATATTGTTAAATCAGCCAAAATGATTTTGAAAAATATTTGAAATAATTATACTATTTAAGTTTCATTTCGTGACAATTAGCACTTTACAGCCGCGCGATGTCTGCCAAAATCTGCTCATTCCATTATCTCTGAGCAATGAAGTTAGTATTGATTTAGACTATGCAATTATTCAGGCTTTACATACTCAGCTTGCTAGACATACACTACATAGGCTACACACCCCACACTTGGTATAATGGTAAATTGTGTAAAGGAAAGTCGAGAATATCATTTTTAGTGTTAAGGTATTACGAATCTAAAACATTGTTGACTGAATTGTGTTTATAGACTTGGGACTATATAACATAGGCTGACACTGTTGTATTTGTAGAAACCATTACAACTTTCACACTAAATGTCTCCATAGGAACTAGGAAATATACTTCAGTAGTTTCTGCAGTTTTTTTGTATTCTGTAACTACCAATGTATCTATTCTCATTAAAAGCTTGGAAGCAATTAAGCAACGTATACATTTATTGACATTGTTGCTATTTCACAAGTGCGCATGCTGTTATTATAATTTCATATAAGACATTAGGAGTTCTAGTGCCCACAATAAACATTGATCAAAATATATATGTTGAAGTATCGTGATATGTATGAAAGTTGACAGTGCTAGTGGTAAAATTTTGTCTAAAAATTTTGTCATCTTGATATTTTTGCGACCTCGAATTGCCACGCAATATTGCTTTGAAGCAATAAAATTAGAGTACGTGCGATAATAACGTATTTTTACGTGCGACTCAATGAATTCTTTGCTTTTTGGTTGTTTGAATTGAGTAATAGCATTAGATACTGGAGGACAACTCCGCCATATCAACTTTTTTCCAACTCTTTAAGCGTCTTAAAATGACTTCCTTCACTGAAACTCTTTTCAAGTTTTTGTTCCGAGCTGTCTTCGTTTTTTCGCTCACTTTTTTTTCTTACTTTGACGCTGTAGGCACGAACGTTATGGTTGGTATCAGGCTTTTTTGTTGCTGATGAAAGGCCAGGCTCATTCCTATCCATAAACACTCGGTTTTGACTGGGATTTTCTTCTAAATTTTTTGTTAAATGAACTATGCACTCTTTTGTAACCAAAGCCACTCCTCCGTTATCATGATAAACAACACGAAATGAGCCATTAAACAATCCCAAATCATATACTGCTTTCATCAATACGAGCGACGACTGTAGTTTTTTGGTTTCAGTTGAAAAAGTCTCGATCAATAACTTTGAAGCATCCTTGTTAAAGAAATAACATGTGATACACTTGGAGAGTGGTGTGTAAATAACTTGATCATATTCTTTGATCTCATCAAGGGACGGTTTGAATTTCATGCAATCTGATAAATCTGCTTCCATGTTGTAGAAAAGAATTCTGTAATATTCACGGGGATGTCGATAGGTTATCATGGCTATTTGCCTATCAGCAGAAAAACACAAAGATTTCAACTCGTCAACAAGTGGATTATTAATGCCTATAATCCTACAAGGTTCGAGAAAGAGAAAACCAGTTTTGTAGCATACACATAGGTTGATGTTAGGTTGGTCACCTTCAACAAATGCAATAGCAACTACTTCATCATTTGTGATGGCCATAAACAAGTTTCGTGCATCTTTATTGTCAAGAAACATCAAAGTAGACTGTTGGATAGCGCCATCTTCTGAAAAGACTGTCAATTGATAGTTCCAAGTGTTCTTATTTCCATAACCAGAAAGAACATATACCACGCCATTGTTATCAACTGTCATACATCTAACCTGCCAATCATCAATCTCACAACTTTCTTTACACCACGGTTGAAGCTTTCCTGTTTCGCTGTTGACTTTTTGCAGATTTTTTCCAGAAAAAATCAGCACTTCTCCTTCGTTGGTTATTGTGATTTCTTTGTCGACAAATAGGTGAGCTTCATCTTTACAAAAATGAGATTCATACCAAGGTGTGGAAGAACGCGTGATTCCTTCAACATCTTTAAAATACAAAGGATGAAACTTGTGCACACCTGATTGAATCAATGGCCAGTCAAGAACAGCTCGTTTTATAAATGTGTTGTTTGAAATGAAATTGGCTAGTAATAAGTTCATCATCAATACATTTTCAATGTTTTTGTCCCTCTGGTCTTTGTTAAAGGTTAATTGTGGAAAAGAAAAAAGCTTTTCTACCTCGTGCAACGAATTGAGGTATTTCAAGTATACCATAGCATCCTTTTCTGCTGCCTCACTATCATTAAAATGTCGAAGAATAGAACTTGCGATGCAAATCCTGCATGCAATTATTCTTTCTTCAATTTTTAATGATGCATTATGAAATGCTAAGCTAGCTTCTCTGTCTGCCTGTGTAAAAGACTCTTTAGCCAACTGTTTTCGCTCTTCTTTCAACTCGAATTTTTCGTTTTCAGTTGACTCGGCAAGCTTCAGTCTTTCAATACCTTTATTGAAATGACTAATACTACTGTCGAGATCTTGTCTGCATATTGACTTTAGTATTGTTAATTCGCCTTCAACAACACCTAGGAGTTCCAGCAGTGTTTTCCCACTTTGTAAAATCCCTATTACGCCCAAACTTATTGTTATTGGATCCATCGCAAGTTTCAGCAATCTAAAATTGGTTTCGTACAATACAGGTATTACATTAGCAAAGCAAGTTTGAAATTTGGCTGGTGCTATGCTGACTTCTCAGCAAAATGATCATTTATGGGCTGTTTACATTATCCCGGCTAACCTAGTTTCAGTGAGGCGTGAAATGGTTTCGAGGTATTGAAAGGAGTCAAAATTTCAAGCGTAAAAATTACAACTGTTTATTAAGCGGTACAAGTCATTCCTGTTCTAATTTTCAAATTAGGCCAAATTAACTGTTTTTATTTTTAAATGCTTTTTGTAGTTGTCAAACCAGAATATTGTGAAATTGCCAGAGAAAATTTATCTGATGATGAGTATTGGATCGTTTCCATTGGCCAAAATCATTTAACGCTTGACTGAATCCCGGCTATCCGGGCTCATTTAATAAGCCCCTAAATTTGTTTAGAAAATGATATTTCAAGCATTGTTTTTTCAGCGACTGAGCACAAATATAATTGCATGACTGAAGTACAATATCGGGCTTGCTATTTGTCATCGTTCTATCGTTACTTAAAGTGCATATAAAGCTTATAGGATTTTTTGTATACTGAATCAACGTGGTGTAAAACGTTATATTCCAAATTTTTTTTCTTCGTTGAACCAATAGTTCTCGTGCTACACCCAATTAAAATCATAAAAAACTGGCTATTTGAGTCGCTCGGTTTCCCGGCTATAGACTGGAACTGCGCGGTCAATTGAGGAAAGCGTGTAAGTAACATTTCAGCAAGCGTGCATTAAAAATAAAGTGAAATATCTAATTTGATATGCCTGATTGCTGTATAGTTGCTGGCTGTTCTACCGTTCCTTGCACGGAAAAGGGCATAGGACTTCACCGCATTCCTTTTTATGGATCAGAAGAGCCTATAAAAAAGAAAAAGAAGAGAAAGTGGCTAGATTTTGTCGCTTTAAAACGAGCGAAATGCCCCATATCAAAGATGTGGAGCATATGCTCGCTGCACTTCAAACCTGAAGATTTTACCAGACGGTATAATAGTTTGCAAGGGCAAACAAGTAGACTGGTGTCTGACGAAGTTGATTTGTTTGCTTTTCCTTCTGCTTATCTCTCAGAAAGACTGATGATATAAAGTGCGCCTTCTGAAAGGAATCGTAGGAAGGAATCGAATTCAGGTTTTAAATCCTGTATATATTCCGCGTGAGACTGATAACTTCAATGAAGGAAGCTTGTTTTAAATTCGTCAAAGATTTTGTAATGGAAATTTAATTTTTGCAGTTGATACCATAGTGTGTGTTGTTGTAGGTTGTTAGAGATATTTTGTCTAGCACAGAAGCAGGTTTTCGCTCTTCTAGTCAAGACACTTTTGGAGCTGAAAGTGCTACCTTGTCGATATCAGTTAACTTTTCAAATGGCGGTTGCCAAGTTACTTTCTAATGTTGCCAACTACATTTCCAAATATGGAATATTCGTTATGAACTTGTCAACTGGAGTTGACAAGTTGTGTACTTGAGTACTGAAGTTGTGACATAGAATAGAGAATATATAGAAGGGCAACTCGCAGGTGAAACGCGTGGCATATTTTCTTTGCGCATGCGTTAGGTCTGCCATTACTCTGGCCAGTAACTTCACGCTGGCGTACTATAAAATAATATTGGAAAAGTGCGATT